GGCCCTTCCCTTCCCATTCTGCCTGCACTGCTGTCCTCTCCCGCCCCCTCCCGCCCCTGCCCCCCAAAGGGTTCTGGCAGGCACGGACACTCCCCTCCTGGCAGGAACCCCAGCTCAGCACATCCAAGGAGAGCCCTCTCAAATATCACTTTGCTATTTCAAACCCACCAAGGACGCTGGACCCCTGCCACAGAGCCACAAATACCTCAGCTCACGTCCACGCCTAGGCCTTTGGGGCACTTGCCTAATCCCGCCTGGCAGCCTGGAGACACAGGCTCACAGCTGGGGGCACGGTGGCGGGCGGGGAGCCAGGCCCTCCTTGTCAGGGGCTCACAATGGCAAAGCAGAAAGGGACCTCAGGTCTTCAGAGCGGAGAAACTGAGGCTCCACGCTCGTCAAGGTCATGGGATTCCATGTCTAGTATCCGCCCCAAGTTCTTCCCTGGGAATCACAGAGGGTCCAGGGTCAGGGGCAGCAGTCTGCACACCTTCCGAAATCTGGTACAAAGTCTCCTTTGTGGGGACACGGGTATTTTCTGGAAGGAAAGGCCAGAGCTTTTATCACATTTTCCCTGCCAAGAGAGCCACTGTACCAGAACAAACTCCCTTCCCGAGCTCCTGTCCCCCTCTGCCAGTGATGCCGCCGTTCACCTCTCAGGGGCTTCAGACTGACTCATTGCCCAATTCATTTCCTCAGTGACGATACACGGGCACACTTGGGGTCAAGTGCCAGCACCTCCCCTCCATTCAGCAGGAATTCTGTTCACAAATGAGGGCTGTCAAAAGTTGAGAGGAAAAACCTGAAAAATCCATATTTGGTCCCGGCTCTGCCACCCGCCCCATCCCCACCCCCGCTACATGCCCCTGCACAGACTATCTGAACTCCAGGCCTCGGTTTCCTCATCTGTGAAATGGGGCTGAAACTCAAGAATAACCCCTGACCCACCATGAGGCCCAACTACAAGCCCGCCCTGAAAGGCTTTATAACGACTGCCGTGACATGAGCCGCGCAAGGAGCCCCCACGGCTCTCCAGCACCTCCAGCTCAGAGGCCGCACGGCCAGGGCACACCTACTCCACTCATTTCTCCACCAAGAAGAAAACACACATTTAGCTACCACACGAGGGAAAGGGCCGCTGGCAGCCAAGAAGGCACCGAAAATACTTCTTTCTACCAGCCACACAGGCCGGGGGAGAAAAGCAAGCGGAGAAGTTGGCCAAGGTGAGAGACACAGGTGGAACAGGTGTCCACCCCACAAAAGGCCAGGCCCCAAACAACAGGGTTTAAGAGAACCCAATGGTACCCCAAGGCCTTTTACCAATGCCCTGAGGAATGCTGCTCTGGTGAGAGTAGAAGAGCCCCCCAAAACCACAGCAGGGTCCCCATGAGCCTCCTCCCAGGGCCTCGGGGCTCTTCTGACTTAGGATAAACTGATTTCTCAGAAAAGTCTATTCTCATACCGAATGCCCAAACACTCCACGTTACACGTGGTCAACATCAGGGCTTACAAACAACGTTCCAGGTGTTTGGGGGCTGGGGGAGGGCGGGAGAGAGGACAGACTGACTCAAATGAAAACTCAGCAATTCAAAGAAAATTTAAGCCCCTCCCCCACTGAGTCACCTGGCTCATTCCAGGCCCTACAGCCTGGCTTTGACCTGAGAGGAACCTTTACGATCTCCTGACCCCTGACCCCGCTGTCAGAAGGGGAGACAATTTGTCAGGAACACAAAATCTTTTCCCTGTGAGAGCGGAGACCAGGATCTTCCCAGTTGAGGTCCTTTCCCAAGACCGTTCCAGCCCCACAGCAGCAACCGGGCAACCCCTCCCTGACCCCTGCCCTGCAAGAACTTGATACTCACTACCCCCACACCAAGTCTGGGTGGCACCTGGGCTGCGCAGACTCCCCACAAACCAGAAGAATCTCTGACTCACCTCACCGGCAGAGGGAAGGCCAGTTACTGCCCACTCTTACCGACAGGATATAAGGTAACTAGTTAACCAGTGTTAGAAGGCCGCGCTCAAGACCACCCAGCAAAAGTGAAAGCACCAAAGGAACATCTTCCAACACGCCAATGGCTGTTCTAGGCTAGGCTCGTCAGTGAGCCCAAATGACCTATTTTTCCTTACCCGTAGGTCCTCAACCCCTTCATTCAAAGAGCACGCACGCACTGTGTGCAAGGTACTGTGGGAGCTACAGAGACGGACAACTCTGTAGACGGATGAACAGCCTCTGGCAGGGAAAAAATTAATAAGCTGCGGTTGGAAAGACAAGCCTAGAAGAGAAAGTAGTGGGAACAGGTGCGAACGAACGACACTCGCCACGGACAGGCAGGGCTGAGCCTCGGCAGTCAGGGGCCGCGACCCTGGAGTCGCTGACGGACTGTGTTTGGATCTTCATTCTACCCCTTAGCTGCGGATTCACCTCTCTGGGCCTCAGCTTCCTCATCTGCGAAATGGGAGTTAACAATCCCCCTCTCACCAGGCCACTGGCAGCTGGGAACAAGAGACTAAACCAAAGTGGTCAGCACGGGAGCCCAGTACGTGGAGAGCTGCCAACAAAGGCTCCATGTACACAGATAGATGATCTCCACAGATAATGAGGTGGGGTGATCAGAGTGTGCTGGAAACTATCACAGAAGCCCACAAAGAAGCTCAGAGATGGATACGATTTGAATGGATAAGAGAGGCACGCATTCCAGACAAGAGGAAGGGAGCCTGGAAAGAGACAACAATTCTAGCAAGAAGGAATGAGGGCTAACCAGATGGTAGCCATGGGAATGGACAGAAGACACGAAGATCTAAGAAGGCCAAAGAGAAGAGACCGTTCCTTTTCTTAACTGTCTTAAATTTCTCTTAATTTACCAGTTGGTCCTCTGTCACCCCGGCAATCCAATGTCACCCCGCAACTCCTCCACCATACAGATGTTCCCTCCCTGTTGCCATTCATTACTCCATCCCTCCCCCCACGCGACCTCACTCTCAAGCCAATGACACCAAACGGATTCCAATCTAGGGAAAAGGGTTTTATTCCCCCAAATCTGTGAATCCTGGGCCTCAATTAGTGGGACTTCAACACTTAGTAGCATCTTCTACACATCTATGCTGATTTCAACTCGCCATGTAATTCTGCCACCATTCCTTAATAAAGTATGGAAAGCAAACCCATGTGAGCTTTCACTGCCACCCGTACTGTTTCAAGATGCAGACCAAACCACAAATTGCCACCACCTTACATCATTTGCTAGAGCACCAAACTTAGTTAAAAATTTTTAACTTCTTCAACGACTTGCAGAAGATAGCAAAGACATCCTCTATCAAGAGATTTACCTGAAATAGGCATGTCCACCTATTCCCCACAACTCTAAAACAAAACCATTTGCACAGCAAAGACTGACCACATAGAAATGCACTCTCTAACCGTTTTTTAAAAAAAAGGAAGATTTTTTTTTTTACTAGGTAGAAAGGTCAAATTCACCAACTATTTTTACATGCTTAATGTTCCTTCTGGCCTCCTCCCCCAACCTCCAACTCAGGAAACCCTATGATCATCACCACGGATTTTCCCAGAAGAACCACATCACAAGAGAACCAGTCACCTCACCTCTTACTACTAAAAGTTTACCAGACCATAAGTACCGTGCGCCAGCTTCTTTCTCAACCTTGGAGAGGGCACAAGAACAGGTCCACTTCCTCAGCGGTCTGGTCCAAGGGCATTGACTTTTCAGTCATAACAAGATTTCATCCCATTGAGTAGTCTCAAAACCAGTGAGCCTCCTGCAGAGCAGCTAACTCAGTCTACTATAGAAGCAATTGTCACCATAAAGACATTCATGGTAATGGCACTTGTGAAAATCAACCAGATGGGTTCTGGTGTCCTAGGCCAGTTTCTGGTGTCCTAGGTGTGTCCCCCCTCTGCACACAGGGGACACACATGGCCTGGCCAAGTGGGTGGGCCCTGACAACATTCAAGAAACCAACTTCCATGCCCTAGAACTTGGAGACCATTCCTACCGACCTCATGAAAAAGTGCAAGACCAAATAAACCACCTCTTGTGTGCATGTGCACACGCACACTCACACTCTTACACACACACACGCACACACACACAGGCACCCATCTACAAGGCCACCAGGAGATGAAGCCTGGAAGGAGGCTGGGAAGAACTGCAGACGCTTCCCCTTCCATCTCCCACCTCCCCCAGATCGTGTTTCATCTGATCATAAATTCTGACTCCAACCCATGTTTGGAGTCTAATTTTTTTTTGAGGGGGACTGCCATGGGAGATGGATATGCGGCAGACGTCGCTCTTATAAGCATTTCATAAATCTTAAGAAACTCATCCAGGTAGAGGATGAATAACAGGGTAGCAAGCACTATGATGTGATGAAATTAACTATCTTCACAAGAACATTTTGGACACAAGATTATGGACCAGCCAAGGACTTCAAAGTACACATGGTCTCAGTGGGCACAACCTGAGCCCTCCAACAAATACACACGTGCGCACACACACACTTGTACACACACACCTCAAAACATAATTTGGAAAAGACTGCTCCCTGGGAAGTAAGGAAGGAGTCCATTTCACCAAGCTCTCACTCAACCACCCCTTCAGCTCTGAAACACAAGTTTCGTATTTGTTTTTGTTTTGTGGCAGTGGCCACGGCGAATTTTTTAATTAAACCAACACCAAGGAGACTCAGTCCCTTCCCAGCTAGCTAACTGTCCGCTCTGAACCATCAGCCTCTTACAGCTGAGCCCTAACACCACCATTTTATCCTCCAGATAGGTATCTATACTCTTTTGCATAATTACCACATTACGAAACACGGTTCCCCAAGTTAGAACGGGGCAAGGGCAGCAGGGAGGTGGGCAGAACAAAAAGGCCAGGAGAAAACAAAGACCACTGCCAAATGGCTGTGTATTTGCTTCTGGTACTGAAGAAGTTAGAGCTATCCAACCCTGTAATTATTGCCAGGATTAAAAATTTGTTACTCACATAATCATGAAAGGCTTTTGCTTCACTCGAATGTTCACAAGTGTCTCGCCTTTCAGGAGCTGCACAGTAAAGGTCCCAGAATACGCTGCAAGTTGAAAAATAAAATAAGATCGGGTTACTAATTATCACTCGCGTATCCGCGACAAGTGCACAACGTACGGGGCTAACAGCACGGGGTCTCCCGAAGGCTCTAATCCCACATTTCCAGCCTTTAAACTCAGGCTTGAAAACACAACGGACCAACGTCTTCTGGCAAGCCAGACCTTTGCCCTAAGAGTATTAGTTCTTGGCCATGAGGCACCTACTGTGCGCTAGATGCCTCCCACCCGTGACCTTGCTTGTACTACCGTGACCTTGCTTGTACTACCGTGGTGCTTTAGGGGAGGTAACTAACCCTACTTTATTCAAGAGGCAACTGAAGTTTGGATGGATTAGTACAACCCATTCATGGGGGTCCAGATAGGACAGGTAGGAATCTGGGTAAGAATCCGGGCCTCCTTCATCTGTGCTCCTTTCACCACCATCCCCCCAACCAAAATGGCTACATTTCACAAAAAGGTTAAACTGTCAAAGTCAGGACTATGATTCATAGGCGGAGCCATCTGGGTGACTAGCAATAAAGGAAACCTACAGGTTCTTAATCCCAGAGCCCAGAGCCCACACCCCCATCCCTCCCATCTCACCCCTCAGTCCCATCCAGGCCCTCCCCCAAGGAATTCTTATGCAAGAACCATCCCCCCCACACCCCTAAAGAATGCATATCAATTAGCCGAAGGAGAGGCTGTCAACAACCCAGTATCTTGTCCTTTCATGTTGAAATAGCCCTCCTCATAGAGGCACCTGTCCACCAATCCAGCAAAGGGCTGTGGGGGTAGGGGGCAAGGGGCAGGGCTAGATATCTCTGCCTCATCCCGCACCTCCAAGATTTGGTATAGTCACTCTAACACTTTGTATTACATGAGAACAGACCCACAAGTCATCTGTCAACCAGTAAAAGCTTACACAAATGGGGTGGTCACTGGTATTAATACGGTGCCTTAGAAAGCCTCTTCGTGTCAGAAGCCCAAGGCCCAGGGCTGGGAACCACTCGAAGGAAACGGGCACCTGGGCATAAATCTGACTCCAAGTCTAGAGCTCCTGTCCCCATCAGCAACAACCGACTCAGCAGATCATCAGACAAGCCATCTCGCTCAAGGTGTCCAAATTCCAGGGCCTGATCAACTCCGAATCAGCGCCTATGCTTCCTCCCACCTGGAGAGTCTCAGCTGTCATTTGCTCAGTGTCGAATGGCACGGAAGCAACTTCTAACAAGACCACAGACAGAGCCGCTCAGAGCCACCACTGCTCAGGTCCAGCACAACAGCCTCTCCCCGTTCCTGGGCCTGAGACAAGGCTGGAGAAGATTGGGGCGGGGGCTGCGGGGGGGGCCCTTAAGGACACAACAAGAAAATCAGACAGAACGAGAAAATAGGAGGCTCCTAGTAGCTGCAGATAGAGGCTCAAAAACATTCCTTTCTGTCCCCTGAAGCAGCACACATTGGATTAACTTCTCCACACGCTAAGGGATTTCGAACACTACAAACTCCCTGGCCCCCTTCTCAGTAACTTTTACTCCTAAACCCGAGCTTCTGCAAAAATCCATGATGGTCAGACGCACCCACCCCGCTCACATACTGCTCTCCCAAACCACCCCAGAAAACCTATCACCCACTCCTACAGGTAGAATCCTCAGGCCACAGCACCGCAGTTCCAAGTCTGGCAGAAATAATTAAAAACTCATTTTCTCCGTGCAAGTTAGAACAGACACTTCATCCCCCCCCGTATTTCAAAGAGACTCGGAACAGTAACCTGAACTGGTGGTCAGGTAAAAACGCACAGCTAAGATCCCAAGACGTGGCACTCCGATCCTTCTGAACTCCACCAAAATATCAAAAGCCATTCTGCTTTCTTGTCCTTTTCAAAAGGACGCCAGAGACTCCACCAATCGGTCCGCGAAACAGCCAGGTCTTATACTCACAGCGACTCATTCCTGCTGACCTTAAGCCCCTGTTCTTAGGCAAACCTACAAGGAGAGACCGGGACCTACAGAGGTCCCACCACAGCAGGACCCAGATAAAGGAGGGAAAGGGTCACAAATAAGGGAAAGCCACCAACTACCAACTACCGACTACAAGCACTCTGTGAGGTCAACACCAACCAGTTAAGGTTCTTGGTAAAATGAAACTTTGTGGTTTCAGGGATGCTGGGGGTTGGGGGGAGGGCCCACAGAGGAGAGGAAAGTCCAGTCAGTCTGAATCAGTATCTTTAAAGGAAGTGGCAGCCCCTTCTTGCTTTTTTTCTCAGGGTGCCTGGGAAAGGCCCCAGTAGAGCTGCTCTCTAAAGGTTTGGAGCTCACAGAAGAAAAAGGAAGGGACAGGCCAGCTGTAAAACAGACCTGGTATCCTCCCCACCCTACCCCACCCCCACTCCCTCTAATTAAAGCAGCATGCAGAATTGACAAAAATCCTCCAAGGTTTTTTCAAGACCCCCGCCTGGTGCCCCAGAGAGAGATAGGAAAGTAAAGGAGTTTCTATATAAACACTAGACATTATTTAGGAGCTTCTCAATAGAAGGGGAAAGAGAAGCAAAAACTTTGGGAACCAGCCTCTGCTGTCCTTTTCCTCCTTCACCAGCCCTAGTCTGAGTGTCCAGAGGCGCCCTGGTCTGCGCCAGGCCCAAAAGCTAAGGCGTGGGCTTCTGCTCCAGGCTGCCTGTCTTTGTTCACCCAGACCCAGGTCTCAGAACAAAACAAACACACACGCAAAACTATCACACAAACTTACCACCACCACGAGTGCAAAAACCCAGGCGGTTCTCCCAACGTGATGTTTTTTTCCCATCGAATCTGGAAAGCAGAGAGCAGAGACCGCTTAGAGGAGCAGAGAGGAAGGGTGGGCTGGGGGCTTCCCGGAGCCAAAAGGCTGTGAAGACCAACTAACAATAAATGCCAAAAGGTGATAAAAATTCAAAATGGTGGCCACAGTGGCTGCTCCTGAAAACAAAGGCTCTAAGAATAGTGGGGAAGAGGGGGTGTCAAAAAATTGGATGAGGGGGGTGGGGGGGGGGGGGGGGAGTTCCACTCACCTCCGACAAGAAGGTCTGTGCAGATTTCTGTGCTCCTACGTGCAGTAAATATTCGTAGACGTATAAAGCTAACCTGGAAAGTGGGCAAGGGGCACAGAAAGAGAGGGAAGGCGTCAGATCACATGGGGCGCTCGCTTCTGGACCTTGCCAGCCGGCTTCCAGCCCTGCCTGCGCTGTCCCATTGTGGCCCCAACCAGAGGTGAGCAGCTAGCTCGACCCTGTCTCGGGCCGCGGGTGGAAGCAGTCAGGGGGGTGGGTACCAGGGGACGCGCTGCCTCGAGCCATGAGAGCTAGAGAGCAGCCCCCCAAACTTGAACTTCCAACTGGCATCGGGGCCAAATCCACCTAGGTCTCTCAAACTCTGTCAGCCTCCCGACCCCAGAGCCTCCCTCCTTTTCCCGACCCACTCATTGCCACTCTCTCTCCAGCTCTGAGGGTCCGGGGAGACTCAGTCCTGGACTCCGGGGTGCTCAGCGCGCTCTGGAGAGGGCAGCAAAGCGCCATCCTCATCAGCTCCCCACCAAGCAACTGTCCCCCAAGCCCAGGGCCAAGCCGGCGCCGCCGTCCCTGCCCAGCGCGGCGCCCGGGAGAGCGCGGGGCGGGCGGCGAGGCCGAGGGGCAGGCAAGGGAGAGCGCTCCCCGCCGAACAAAGCCCCCGGCACGCACTCCTCACGCCGCGGGCGGACAAAAGGAGCCTTCGGGGCTGCGGGAGCCACGCGCCCCCTGCCCGCGCCCGCGGGGCAAAGTGCGGCCGCCGCGGCGAGCGCCCAGGCTGGCACTCGGGACCTCGCCCACCCCTCTCCGCTGGGCCCCCGCGCCCGGCACGCCCCGCGGCCACCAGGTGCCCCCTCCGCCGCCGGCGCCCCCCGACGCCCCGGCCTCCGCCGCCTCCCAACAATGGGCTCTCCCACGTCGCCCGCCGCGGCCTCGGGGAAGGGGCCAGGCAGGCGGCGCCGGGCCCAGGGCGCAGCAGCCCCCGCCCGCCCACCTGCCTCCCACCGCCCTCCCGCAGCCCGGCGACGGCGCGGCCGCCACTTGGAAAATAGGGCTTACTTTTCCCGAGCCTGCCCGTCCGAGGGCACCGCCGAGCCTTTGCCTTTGGCAAACATGGTTTGCGGAGAAGAGGGCGCCGAGCCTCGCCGCCGCCGCCGCCGCCGCCGCTACCGCTCCGGCTTGCTCCCGAGCTGCCCCCTCGCTCCCGGCCCCCTCCCCGGCCTCGCTCGCTCGCCCGCTCGCGCTCTCCTCGCCGCGCTCCCCTCCCCCCCCCCCCGGCGCCGGCGCGGCGCTCTTTCCAGCTGTCAAAGCGTCAGCCCCGGCCGCGGCCCCATCGCCCTGGAACTCCTCCCGCGCCGGCTCGGCCTGGGGTGCCGCTGCCGCCGCCGCCGCCACTCGCCCGCCGGCCCGGCCGCCCGCTGGCTCGCTCGCGCGCCCGCCCGCCCTGCTCCGCCTGCGCCGCCCTCTGCGCCTCCGGCACCGCTGCCGCCGCCGCTGCCGCTGGTCTACTTGGAGCTCAACCGAACGTGGCTACCCGGGCGAGGAAGCGAGGCGGGCGTCAACGTCCTGCGATTGATGGCAGCTTCGGCCAATCGGCGCGCGGGGGCGGGCCCGGCGGCCCGGGAGGGACGCCCTGTCAGCGCCCGGCCGCGGCAGTCCCTGCTGCGGCCACCTCCACCGAGCCGCTGCCCCTGCTCCTGCGGCTGAGCCGGGGGTGCCCGGGGGCGCGCGCCTCTCCTTTCTGTGGCTGTGGGGAGGGGACTCGAATCGGGCCGGGGGAGCTCTCGTCTCTTGGCCCCGGCGACGAGGGGGGTTTGCCCGGCGCTCTCCGCGGCGGGGACCATGGGGGGGGGGGGGGCGCTGCGGCAGCGTCGGAGGGGAGGGGGCGCGGACCCCTAAACGGAGCGCCACCGGCTCCCTCCCGCCACGTCCCTCCACTTATCTGCCCCTTGCCTCCTTTCCACCCCCCCCCTTGCCCGGCTCGCGCCGGCCCAGCCCTTATCTCCCCCTCTCCCTCGCCGGCCCTCCCCCCCCTGGGCTCACACCCCGACCCCCTCCTCAGACTCCAGTCCGCTCCCCGCCGCCCCGCCCCTGGCCCTCCCTCCTGCCCTGTCCGCCTTCCGAGTGCCGGGCCCGGGGCTCCACGCTGCGAGCTGGGCGGCCCGAGCCGGCGCCGAGGCGCGCGGCTGCTCCTTTACTACATCATTAAAATACTTTGGAAAGCCCCAAAGTGGAGCCGCGCGATAGAGGTCCTCGGCGTGCTTTGGGGAGCCTGGGGGAGGAGACGGGGGACTTGTGCTAAGAAAAGGGAGAGTGATTGCTCCCAAATTTCTAAGGTCTGGCAGCCCTGGCAAGTTAGCCCCTTGGCTTCTCCGCAGGAGACGGTGCCGTCCCGGGTACCGGGGCGTCACCTGGGTGCCCTGCAACGTGGAAATGCGCGCCACAGAAATCTGCAAACTTCAAATAAATGGAGCTAAATTCGGGAGGGGGGGGATGAGAGTCAGGCTTGGGGGGAGGGGAAGCTTCCATTGTCAGTGACCCAGGTGTACAATGGGAAATGGGGGGGGGTGCTGGCAGAGTGACCCAGCTATTTGCCGCGGACTCCTCTCTGTCCACGCTGAGAACCCCAAGTAGACACTTTGACTCCCTTCTTAGACCAGAAACCAGCGAAATAGGGGAAGACTCCCCCATTTTCAGACTGCTTTCAGAGCGCGGTTCTCTTTAAATGTGATAAAACACTGTCGGCACTGTCTCTTTAAAAGAGTCAAGCAGAAAAAGCTGTGTAAGCGCTGATTGGCTGCCTGTTTGGATACATCTTTAGGGGAGCCTTGAAACTGTTAGCCTAGGTTGATTTTTTTTTTTTTTTAACTGCGCTGTTCCAATAAACAAGTAACGCCCCTCCCCCTAACATGCCTCGCACCAAACAATTAAAGGATAGGTCAGTGTCCTGGGGAAAACACGTTTCAAGTAGGAAAACTCAGAACTAAATTTCAACAAAATAAAGAATAATTCCCTACCATTAAAGTTTGCTTATTTTGATCTGTTGAAAAGAGAAAAGGGGCTTTTAAAAGAAATGCCCCGCAGCAAACCGATCTGCATTGGTTCAGGAAGGAGACTCGGTGCATTTTTGGAATAATGTTCTACTCAGTGTAACAGCCTCCCTAAATTAGAATACAGCCAGGCCCTACGGATGCCTCTGGACGCACTCTGTTCTCTGCTGGGACCTGGAGATCGCCTGGGAAGGGTACCGAAAAGGGGAAATACCGAACCCTAGTCTATGGTTGTCTGTATGGAAGCCCCTAGTTTAAAGGTTGTTTTGTGAATGAGGGCAGCATGGAGGTTGGGAGGGAGGTGAAGAAAATAATTACAGTTATTTTTTCCCCTAGGCGGTTTAATTTAATAGGGCTACCTTAAGGTACCTTAGAGCCCACACTAGTTAAATTGGCCTGTTCATCCCCTTCCCCTGGACTTCTATTTTTGATGGGCTAGGAATGGCCAAGGATGGCTTGTCAACAGACTGACTCACAAGAAGCCTGACTCATCTTGGGTCTGCAAGGCCCACAGATTATGAGGATCATGAGTATCGGTCAGGTCCTGCCTAAAGGAAAACACTGCCCTTCTCTGGCTGGACTATGGCAGTGTCTATCTACCAAGTTGGTTATGCCCTATTAGCACCAGGCCTGCAGCACAAACCTGTCCGGACATCATTTTCCTCATCTGTCAAATGGGAAAGGAGGGTTAGAAGATCTTTAATATCTCTTGAGAATCTGATGTTCTGTGATGCTGATTTCCCTTCTACAGTTTTCTTCCCACATCCCCACACCCCCACACCCCCACCGAAAAAAGGACTGGCACCTTCTTGGGGAGCAAATGTGGCAAGAGGAGAGGAGTGGCATTCAGGAAACCTGTGCCAGGCACTCTGTCTTTGTGGTCTGCCCTTTGCTAGGGCCTGACCCAGAATGAGGCCCCGTGTCAGTAGGTTCCTGGTGAGGCTAAAAGAAAGGACTCAGGGAGCCACCAGCCTGCTGGAGAGAAGAGAGTTGACAGGCTCCTGGGAAGTGGGACCACTCAGCAACCCCAACCAAGGGTGCACATGGTGATCCAAGAGGATTCAGTCCAAACCCCTAAAAACAAACAGCATCCCAAGCCCCAGCCTCCCTTTCCCCACGGAATCCCCCGGCTCCACCTTCGCCAGACCACATCTTTGGGCCTGCCGTCTTTACTGGGAATTATTCCCACCCCACCATCCCCCTTGGACCATTGCTTAGGGCTAACATGCTGTTCAATGCCATCTTCTCCTCTAAGACCTTTTTGCTTTTCAATCCCAAAGCAAAACTCATCCATCCCCCTGCTTGGTCTCATTTTGTTTGAACCTCCGTAGTGGCTCTCTGTGGTCAATTCTGCCTCTTGTTGTAGCCGTTGTTTACTGTCTGTCTCCTCCGCCAGAGCTGGCAGGGAGAGGAACGAAGTCTGAGTCATCTGCGTGTCTCCACCACCCAGCACAGGTTCAGAACCTGTGTGTATATCAACTCAGTGTATGTACCAGGGGTTGGGGAACCACGAAAGGAAAAAATGGTCTCATCCCCGAAGGAGCTCCGGACCCAGGGTGGAGATAAGAAAGGGACACCAGCAACAAAGGGATGAGATAAGGCCAGTTTCCCAGCCCCACCCACCTAAACCACAGCCTCGAGGAACTACTGTACTTTTGGTCCTCAGAATACACCCAGTCATTGCTCGTATATCCACCCCAGGCTCATTGATTCTTTCCTCTTCTCTTTCTCTATCCCTCCCTCCCTTTTCTTCTTTCTTCTAGTACCTGTCTATTGAGCATCTCCTATACCAGGCATTGTTCCAGGTACTGGGTAATAAACCAAAGATCCTTACTCCATCGAGCTTATGCTATTGGGAAATCCTCTGTCCAAAAACCTCTTTCTGTGACAGATCCCTCCTAATCCTAAAATCCAGCCTGGGCAGGTACCACCTCTACCAGGAAGCCTTCCAGGGAAGCCTCCCTGAGCTCCCTGACTGGGCCAGGAGTCCCCTGGCAGCCCTTGGAACACCCCCCTCAACAACCCACAACAGACTGCAGTAGGCCACAGTGTGTAGGTGTGGACATGTGTGCATCTCCCTCATGGGAGCGTGAGCTCCTCCTGCCCAGGGGAATGGTCGTCATTCACCCGCGGGTCTCCAGTGCCCACCAACTATGGTGAAAGGAGACTCCAATAACTGAGTGACCAGAATGAGGAGTAAGAGGCAGTTGAGGTGGAAGAGGAGAAGGAGAGGTCAAGTCCAAGCTCGGGCTAGAATAGCCACTCCTTCACTCAGCTGCCAGAAACCAGAGGGCAGAAATCCTGGGCTCTGGGATCAGGTTGGCAATGGCCAGGCCTCCAGAAGGTGGCAGTTAAAGGAAAAAGACTCCAGGCCCATGGGCTCAACCTGTGAAACTGCTTTCCAAGGATGCCAGAGGCTGTCCCTACCTCTCCCTGGTGAGCAGGTCTCTTTCAGAGTTCCTCACACAGCTGCTAGAAGGATGGGGCTCCCCATCTGCGGGGCGAGGGGGGGAGGCGGGGTGCAGCTATTTCGGTGGTCACTGAGAATGCAGCCCATCCCCCTCCTGCCCTGACACAGTGGGCCCTGGAATTGAATGGGAAGTGTCTCTGGTCAAAACCCTGGGCTCCTCTGCTGGGGGTAGCCGGGCTCCGGCTCAGGCTGGTCAGCCCTCATGTTACCCAACGTTTCCCTGAAGGGATCAGGAGCCTTAAGAGGGGGTATAAAAGTCCAGCGTCCAAGCCTCTCTGGTCGATGTCGGGCCGGTGACCTTGCCTTGTGAGCCTGTCTGGGAAAGGAGGACCTCATTGTCCCTGTCCAGGGCAGGCAGGGGAATAGGGGTCCAGGAACTTCGGGGGGAATTACCTGCTGGGCTGTCAATCAGTGCTGGCCAAGCCCGTTCTCCTGATCACCTCTGGACAGTGGAGAGTCACTGCTTTGAAGGCTGTTTGGAGGCTCAGCAGAGAGAGTAACTGGAGAAACATTCTCTAAGTTGAAAAAGATGATTACTCCTGATGTTATTAGCACAGCAGAGCCGGCAAAAAGAGAGGTGCTAAGGAAGAAGGAAGTGAAGTTTAAAATCAAATGTGTTTTGAACTGTCTTCTGCTGGACACACACCTGTGTTAGAGCAAAATGGTTTTAGGCATTTTCTTGAATGGGGTTAGTTCTATCAAGAAAGCAAATGGTTT